CACTCTTTCGCAAACACATACACAGTGCGCAGGTCTATCCACAAATATCATGTGACAGGGCAGTGGGTCCCATCACTTGAGGTCAGAGAGGCTGCAGACCTGCCGCTTGGCTGGACACCACCAGAGACGGACAAATCGGCAACAGATTGTTCCTGACACAATTTATACGGCAACCTGACAGGACACACAGAGCCGGTGCTGCTGGGTGCCGTTACCACTGCGCATCAGGGGTGACAAGTCTGCTGCGAACGAGAGGTTTGCTAAAGGAGCGACCGCACGCGGGAGGAAGAGTAATGGACAGGAACAATGGATGGATGAGTGCATATTGAGAAGAAAGGATGAATGGAAGGTGTCCAAATGCTTCAAGGTTACTTTCAGAGGTTTGAAATGTCGCAGCTGCTGAAATGTTCACTAAACCACGCTCTAGAATGTTGTAGCAGATCGTCTTAGAAGTTGTAGTTTTTAATGTTTTTCTAAAAAATTATATGGGGCAAGTTGTCACTATGGAACCTGTCATTATTAATAGTCTGTTATAGGCTTTTCAACTTAATTTAATCAGTAAAACCACCAGGAAATACAAAACTAGCTAAAATTATTTTCTAGAGCAAATGCTCTTAATTTTATCAAATTTTAATTACAAAAGTGAAAAATAATGTCACAATAGAGCATGTGATTAAATTGGGTTATCAAAGTTTTTTTTCTTCTTTTTTTGCAAAATTGAAACAGTTAAAAAAAATATGTGGAACATAAAACAATTCATGAACTAGTTGAAACGGAAAAGCCAACATAAAAAATAGCAATACACTGTTTTGGCTAACAGAAATCATGTACAGAATTTGTGTAAAACACACGTGACAACTTGCCCCAATTAAAATAAGCATTCAAAACGGCTGAAAAAAATTAAAGCTGTAAAACAATTATGAAACACAAAATTATTTGTGAACTATCTAAAATGTTGAACCTAAAATAAAAAAGCTAACAGAAAGAATGTATAAAATTGTTTGAAATTGGTAGAAATATATATATATATAATGATATATATAAAACACACCAAAACATTGCTTTGGGTTAACCTATAAATTCTATATAAATCTGTATACATTTTGTATAAAACACTTGCCTTAATAAAAATGTTAAACTGCTCTGAAATGTTTGAAACAAACTTAAAAAAAAAAAAATACAATGCTAGAAAAAAAGTTACCTTGGATTTCCATACAATGTACTGAAACAACATCCAGTCCTTATGGACCAGACATCAATATAAAACCTAATCGATCATAAATCATAAGCAAACATCATATAAGAAGGTAAAGTCTTAAAAGTAACACGTTTTTCAACACGTTTAGCTTTTGCTTAATTCTTATCAAAGTATTATACATGACAGAGAGTTTTGCCTGCTCAAAACTTCAATATATTGAGCCACATTGGTAAGCAATCTCATCATAGACGAGTAATAATTAACCAAGCCAGAATGGTAGGCATTACCACTGGTGCCAGGGTGACAGTTAAAGCCCTGTCTGCTTTTGTGGGCACCAGGAAGAGGGCACCACTCTAATGGGGGTCACCGAGTCTCCAAAGCAACATAAGTCACGGCCGACACAAGCTCCTGTTGTTTACCTAGCGCCTGAGCTCCACTCTTGAGAGCTTAATGCAACGCTAATTCTTGCTCTCTCTTTCCCTACTTGGATCTGACATGGTCAACACAACACCCACCAGTGCGCAGGGTCTTTAAGAGCTGTGTTAATGAAAAACACATTAGAGCCGGATAATTCAAACACACTCGGAGACAATGCAGTGCACAAGGATAATTACTAAAAGTGCTTTATTGAGTTTATGCAAAATGCAGAATGCATGTTGAGAATATTGAGAATGCATTCTCAACATTTTCTTTTCTTTTCTACCGCTGGTACAACTATGGATTTAAAACAAATGGAATGTTTTGAGTCAACCGTTATAGGAGTACTGTAATTTCCCGGCAATTTACATGATTCCATTTGCGGTTCCATTGTTAGAAGGAGAACAATGAATGATTAAAGTAGATGACAAAACATAATTTCACAATTTAGATAACAAAGCCTGCTTCATAAAGGTTTTTGTGTGCAACTAGAGTATGACTGTATTATTAAAGTAAACACACCTTGTATCTAAGTATTTACACAGAATAATTAAACTGCAAGTCGTTATTCTTTAAGCCGTGATTATGCCCTCAGGAATGAAATGAATATGAGCTGAGAATAGCCTAAACCTTTGAGGGACAGTTTAATGATGACTAATAATTAACTAGACAGCTCTATTATATCCAATAGCGTATATGAATATCATGCAGAAAAGAGGCAGTGTTGCTGTTGCTATTAACGCCTGAATAAGCAAATCACTTGGAAAAGTCATAAGAACCACTATTTGAGGTCAAAAATAGGCATTTTGACTGTAATGCAATCTTAGGTTTATAACATTTCAGCAGTGGTGTATTGTAACGAAGTAATAATACTTCGTTACAGTACTTAAGTATTTTTTGGGAGTATCTGTACTTTACTTGAGTTTTTATATTTCAGCCAACTTTTACTTCACTACATTTCCTAATTAAAATTTATACTTTTACTCCGATACATTTCCCCGAAGCATATTCGTTACTACAAAAGAGTCAGAAGAACACGGACTGCAGAGAAGCATGTTTGACGAATCAGTGGTCTGGCGTTTGCAAGTTAGACTCCTAAAAACACCTTTGCTCATGTGCAATTTAATGATTATTCCGTTTGTACAAAGATATGTCTGCTGTTAGTAACAACTCAGGTAGCACTGAGACTAGAGAGCAGTGGTGTATTGTAACGAAGTAATAATACTTCGTTACAGTACTTTAGTATTTTTTGGGAACATCTGTACTTTACTTGAGTTTTTATATTTCAGCCAACTTTTACTCCACTACATTTCCTAATTAAAATGTATACTTTTACTCCGATACATTTCCCCGAAGCATATTCGTTACTTACTACAAAATAGTCAGAAGTCAGAAGAACATGGACTGCAGGAAAGCAGGTTTGATGAATCAGTGGTCTGCCGTCTACAAGTTAGACTCCTAAAAACACCTTTGGTCATGTGCAAAAAAGTGTGCGGCTGCGTGCACAACCACGGATGATTAATTTTCCACTCAAGTCGAGTCTGGGGTGTGCGATACAGCATCGTCTGCGATAATATGGTAAGTGTTGTAATGATGTGCCATCTGACATTATCAAGTATATCACAGAGAGCGCACGCACGTTGATTTATTAGTCTATTAAAACTCAAAATTCCACTCTAAATTGTAGATGGCAAAAATGCTTCTGTATGCTATTTATATAATTTAATATAGTTAACGTAATCTATATCACACAAAGAGTACCTTGTTTCTGCAGATAGCAGCATGAAAACATTTAATAATAATTTTACTTAAGTACAATAAATATCACATACTTTAAGACTTTTACTCAATATTCTAAACGTTTTCTTCAACTTCTTCACAAGTCATTTTCTGGTAAGATATCTGTACTTTTACTTGAGTATAGCTTTCAGGTACTTTATACACCACTACATTTCAGACAGGTAGACTGTTGTGCATATAATAAAAAACATGTTAAGAGCCATGCAGAGGTAGTTTTGTGTTAAAATGGCAGAACTGAAGGAAAGAATGGCAATAGGCCTGCTGTATCATCATTTTAATGAATGTAGAATATCATGAAGCCCATTAGCCAAAGGTGACATTAAAATAATATTATTGCTTTGTAATCTTTTTGGATCTGGCTAATGTTTTTTTCCAAGTTGTAAAAGATTAGTAAATTATGGAAGCAAGCTTCCACTACAAAGTAAAAAAAAAAAGGGAAAAAAACCCCTAAAATGTGAGATATAAAGTCACACTATGATACAGTTGCAATTGTGAGAAATAAAATTGCAGCTGTGAGAAATAATGCCACAACTCTGTGAGAAATTAAATGGAGCTAGACCACTGTGACCGGAAATGTGCATCAAATGCGTCGCTGCAGTGGCTAATAGCCGTAGCAGTACCAGTGATGGCGAACGAGGGGCAGAACTCCATCAGCCGCCCTCCGTCTCCACCGTCCCTCCCTCTCCTGCTAAGAGAGTGTATGAGTGCCACTCAGGCGGGCGAGAGAGTCGGCCTCCAGCTGGGCAGCATTTAGGAAATGCCAGTGAGCATGGGCGGCTTGCTTGACTAAGCGCAGTCTCACAGAGCCACGCACCACTCGGGATAGTGTGAGAAAGGGTGCAGAATGCCGCCCTCTCCCTTATAGAGCTACAACGCATTTGCTGTCACACACACACACACACACACACACACACACACACACACACACACACACACACAC